TAACTGTTGCAGCTCTACTTGGTCTGCTGATGCCTTAAGAGATCCCTTCAGTGAAACTAAGGGGCCAAGCCCAGCCCCTGAAAAATAACCCCATACCACAATCCCCCCTCCATCAAACTTTACACTTGGCACAATGCAGTCAGGCAAGTACCGTTCTCCTGGCAACCGCCAAACACAGACACTTCCATCAGATTGCCAGACAGAGAAGCGTGATTGGTCATGCCTCCACTTCTCTAAAGTCTAGTGGCGACTGCATCCGACGCTTTGCATTGCACTTGCTGATGTAAGGCTTGGATGCAGCTGCTCGGCCATGGAAACCCATTCTATGAAGCTCTCTACGCACTGTTGTTGTGCCAATCTGACGGCCGCACGAAGTTTGGAGGTCTGTAGCTATTGACTCTGCAGACAGTTGGCGACTTCTGCGCACTGTGCGCTTAAGCATGTGCTGACCACGTTCTGTCATTTTATGTGGCCAACCACTTCGTGGCTGAGTTGCTGTTGTTCCCAGTTGCTTCCACTTTGTTATAATACCACTAACAGGTGACCGAGGAATATTTAGAAGCAAGGAAATTTCAATGATGGTCTTATTGCACAGGTGGCAACTTATCACGGTACCACACTGGAATTCACTGAGCTCCTGAGAGCGACCCATTCTTTCACAAATGTTTGTAGAAGCAGTTGGCATGCCGAGGTGCTTGATTTTATACACCTGTGACCATGGAGGTGATTGGAACACCTGAATCCAATGATTTGAAGGGGTGCCCCAATACTTTTGGCAATATAGTGTATATTCAAGTTGTTCCTATATTTGGATAGAGCAAGGAAGGGTTATAGACTCAGTTCTTTTTTGCTGTATGTGGCCGATTGGGAAGACAGGAAGTAGTGGAAATCTGTCAGGGCAGGAAGTGAGGGGAACGTTCTCCGACAGGGACATAAGCACAAACCTATGGTTAGCATGTGTGGATTGGTTCGACCAATTTATTTTTATATAGACCTATAGGCCACACATAATATTCAGTCTATGCAATGCTACTGGAAGCAGTCTGAGACTTGAAGGGCCCATTCACATCCGGTCCGTTGCGCTGCGATCCATTGCATTGCAAAATGTTTTTTAATGGATACTAACGCAAGGGTACTGAAAAATGAATAGGTGTGAAGGAGGCTAGTTCACACCACTCCATTCTATTGTGTTGCATTATGTTGCGTTGCGCGAAAAAAAAAAAAAAGTAGCATGCACTACTTTTTTTCAGTGTAATGTAACGTAACTGCGCCAGCGTGAACTAGCCCCATTCACACCCATTCATTTTTTGGTGTCCTTCTGTTAGCAGCCATTGAAAAACATTGCAACGGATCGAAAGGAAATTGGAACGTACAATTGTAAGTAAACGGACCCTCTGGTTACTTGCAATTTCCTTCTGATTTTGGTGCGAATGCTCACTAAAAAGTACTTTATTAGAAGGTAAACTATGGTATGTTGTGGTGTACTGCATTGCCAAACATGGTGCAGGTCTGTTTTTTTGGACATTTTGGTGTGTTGCCAGCCTATTCAATAGAATCCACGAAAAAAGCATGTTAACAAATGTGCGGTCACACAACACAACAGGATGCCACGTCTGAATGGCCCCTGAAAGACAATAAAGTCATGTAACTAGTAGGAGCCAGTCTGATGAATATTTTTTTTCCCTGAGCCCTTCATCTGACACAGTGGCGGAACTATGGCCATACCAACCCAGGTGGCCGCTATGGGGCCCGGGGCACAGGGGTCCCCGGCCATGAAGAGAAATAAAGGGGTGCCTCTGATGCCGTGCAGGCCACCTAGGTTGCTATGGCATCGCAGGCTGCTGGCTGTCACTGGAAGCTGTTAGGAGGAACGCGCTGCTGTCCAGATCACTGACAACCTGTGGGTGGGCTCTGCAAGGAACATAACTAGAAATCACAGGGCCCCATACAATATTTTGCTATGGGTCCCTGTGATTTCTAGTTACCACCCTGAGCTGACCATGCACCAATATAACTTTGGTTGAAAAGTTTTCTATTTGCAAAGTTTGTTTGCTTTTCATGGGATGTGCTCGGAATTTAACTGTAGAGACCAGAAACATTGAAGGACAGTTTTTCTCGTTTCTTACCTGAATTCTAACTGTGAGTGTGCTTTTTGTTCAAGAACACTCTAACAATTGTACCACAGGGCACACAGCAAACCTGTTTCATGCGTTTGAAATTCAGATTGCTGGCCTGGGCAATATTTTTAAGAGCTTTAAAACAAAATGAGTTGACTCAGTGATGGCAAGATCACATGCTCTGACAAGCTATTCTAACAGTGTAAGGGCAGCAAGTAAGCACCTAGTAAGGGTATTGAATACTGGCTACTGGGGCTTGAGGGACACACAAGAAATTGCATTTCATTAACATTTCTGATTTTATGTATGGAGAAATCCCACCAATGGGAAGCCTTTTAACTCCTTTGCACTCTACCCAAAACTAAGAATTACGCCTGGAGTTATGTTGTGAAATGAGTTAGGAAGGAATTACAAATATATTAGATATTGCCGCCATTCAGCTGCCTGCGCTAAACTCTGACTGCTACATAATTCTCCGCACCACTTCACTGGCTGTTATTCTGTAATACTTGATGACAGGATATAAAAGTATTGGGATTAGCGAAAGCAGGTTTCCACTTATTCTCTAATAGGCACGTACAGCTAAACCTCTAATCCCTTAAGGACTCCAATACCTGGGTATTTGTTAGACATTTAGCATGGCATTTAATCTAATGGAAAATAATTGAAATATTTGGTCAATTTAATTTCCACACCTGTACGACGGTTTGACTTAATGTGATATTAAAGTCAAACATTTTTAAAAGAACTCTAGGCAAATAAGATCTTAACCCTTGCAGTGGGGCTACCCCCATACTGCAAAGGTTAAGTGCTCATTTTGTCTAGGGAGCAAAAATAACAGAGTGTCTGCAGATCTGTGTATACAATAGAGCAGTTCAATTGCAGGAGGATGTAAAAAAAAAATGCATTATCGAAAAGTTGCATTAAAAATACATTCTAATAAATGTTTAAAATATGTGGTCATGCAAAAAAGATGGTCAAGAAGTGAAAGCGCCAAGTAAGTTGAATAGGTCTTGTTAATTTTTATTTGACAAAGTGAGTCAGAGGAGTACCCAGCGTGTTTCATTGGCTCACCAGTCCCTTTTCATCATGGAATGCAGTTTCAGAATAAAAGACTAGGTAGCACATTTGACCGGAATTAAATTGTAAAAGAAGAACTCGGGCAGACAAAACTTAACCTTTGCAGTGAGGCTACACCCGCACTGCAAGACTCAAGTACTCATTTTGGTCTAGGGTCTAAAATGAAAAATATATACTCACCTTAACCTCAGTCCCCACTGGCTGCTAGACCAGTTCCAGTTTAATTCTGAAACTGGCTCCTCCTCCACTCCAGTGATGAAATGTCCCTTTGGCGTCCTCACATCCATTATACTGTATTAGACCTGATGACTCACCATGACAGACCTTAGACTGTCGGAGTGGAGGGAGAGCGGGGCTGTGAGGATCAGTCTAGCAGCCAGTCAGATGCAAGGTTAGGGTGAGTATATCTTTGTTGTTTTTGCTCCCTAGACAAAATGAACAGTTAACACTTGCAGTGCATAGGTAGCCCCACTGCCAGGGTTAATTTTGTTTCTGCCTAGAGTTTTTCTTTAAACATTTTAGGTCAAAGCAACAGTCTATTTTAATTACCCCATCCCCTTCAGCATATACTTACCCTTCCTTGGATACCCCAACACTCCATTCAGCACAGCTGAAGGAAATACTCAGTACTCCCAAGTTTAGAGGAGCTTGTAGCTCACCCAATGTGACAGAGCTGGGGCTGTCAGGGATTTTACATGGGCAGACCGTAGCTCTGTGAAAGTTACTATTCTAGTGACCAGAGATGAGCTCAGGTTCGGACTGGGTTTGGTCAGAACCTAAGCTCCTCTGAACCTAGAAGGAAGCTCCTTCCACTCCCGGCAAGTTAGCTGCTGCAGGGAATTTCTGCACCTAAGCAAAGGGGCGGGATGATGTGATGTCACTGACCTTATATGGCCACATGGCTATATGGGTAAGTGACACTGACCTAATATGGCCACGTGACCACATTAGGTCAATGATGTCAGCACAAACATCCTGTTTCCTTATTTATGTGCAGCTTTGAGACGGCGGATGTCCCATCCCACAACTGATTAAGTGGGTGGCCGCATGTCCCTTTGAACCTAAGCTCATCCCTAATAGTGACGTACAGCTCACACAGGACTTTGCTTCACTCCTAGAAGATTAATGGAGCAGGGGGCTGCAAAACCAAATATATGTTCCTGGGAAGGGCTAAATTAGGCAACTGCGACTAAAGCTGGCTGCAAATGAAGATTACTTTGGTAACTTTGAGCAACAAAGATTGTCAGCTTTAATGTTTTGTTTGTTGCAAAGCTTCGCTTCCCACTGGAATCCAGCACTTTCAGGTATGTCAAATGCCATGCCCTCATATGCACTTTGGAACCATAGTGAAGAGTGGGGGACCAGGCATCAGTCACTTGTAAACTGAGTTCCCTAGGAAAAGGGTTGCTTTAAAGTGAATATGTTGCTTTAACCTGCGTGGGCAAAGCACAGGTACCCTTTAAGCCCTATAGATCATTTCTATCATGTCATGGGCCACGTAGCTGTATTCCAGAACTCACACCAACGCTAGTACCCATTGGTATCATACTGGCAGAGAGGGCACACAATATTAATATCCTTTACAAATGTTCGCAGGTAATAAACCAGCGGTTCTCAGGGTCTTTAATCACGTCTCTCATTTCCACGTGTCAGTTTGCATTTGCTGTTAAGTGCTTATAGTATCAGACTTTTAATTGCTTTAGGGCCCTGCACTGTCCTTTGATTTGCCTATCATATTATTGCCAGATGTGCTTCTTGTATTTCATTCTCCCTAACCGAGACCTCTCTCCCGTCTCAACAGGCTAAGCCTTAATGAAGGAACGTCAAAACTGCTAACAATCACACAAACAGGGACTCCAGACCCTAGTGACCAAGGATGGCGTTGCCACGGAAACTCTTTTTCTTTCTGTCAGTAATGGCGGGGTGTCTATCAGGTAAAGACAATGGTTATAAACTATTTTCCTTGCACGTCAAAAGGTGAAAAAGTAAACCAAGTTTTTGTTTTTTTCTTTGCCTCTGAAAAGCAGAATCTGTGATTGCTTTTCATATTTAATGCATTCATATAAATAGTTGAATCTTATGGCTTTTGTTGCTTTTGGTTGAGGATGTGTTTTATCTGTTATTTTGTTATATACATGGTAATTTGTTGTGTGATATATAAGCAGCGATGGGATTCTATGTAAATGAAGGTTGAAACTCAAATGAAGTCTTACTCTTTTTTTACCTTGCTATAGTCATGTGCTCCTGCATGATTTGTGACGTATTTTTTGGTTGAATATGTCTTAAAGCCTCTCTACGGGCTGCTGTTAAATTTATCCGCACAATGGGGTCCCCCCAGGATAGGTTAAGTGCTTGTTTGGCTAGAGGGGGGAAAGGAATCAGTACAGATACCTTACTCCTTGCTCCATCTGGCAGCTGGTGCTCTTCTCTCTAATCTTCCAGGTATGTAGATGAGGCCTTATTTTCCTCATATACAATGCAGACCTACTGGTCCTGTATTGTATATGATGGCGTCAGAGAGCTCCGTCCAGCTGGACAGTGAAAAAAAGCAGCTTTAGGGGCCGATGACAGCATGCAGGAGTTAGGAATAAGCTATGTAATTTACTTTATTCCTTCCCCTCCTGGCCAAATGAGCATTTAACCTATCCAGTGCGAAGGGAACCCCAATTGCATTGGTAAATGTAACAGAAGCCCAGATTGGGACCTTGAAGATTTTTTTTTCTGCCACTAAACATGCTGCTACCTGTTCTCTCACTCCAGTGTTCTGTGTGGTCATAGCTGAGTAACAGCCACACACCTCAGCGCAAATGTATCACCAGACTTGCTTATCAGAGAAGGGGTGTGTTCTGCCAGTTCTTTTACTATGTCCCAGGGTATTGAGGCTAATTCTGGTGCCTACTGGACTGAACAGTCACATATAGACACCCTGAGGGGGATTTATCAATACTGGAGCAGAGAAAATCTGGAGCAGTTGTGCATGGCAACCAATCACCTTTACTCTTTCATTGTTAAATCTTTACTGAACAAACTGAAGAGAGAAGCTAATTGGTTGTCATGCACAACTGCTCCATATTTTCTCTGCTCCAGTTTTGATAACCCCCCTGCCCCCTGTGTATAACCGATGTAGGAAAGTGGTGGAAAATGTTTGTGAAAATGGAGGTTGATGTCTATAAAAATGGAGGTTGTAAAATGGAGGGCAGTGGAAAAGTATCTGAAAAGTTGTTAGTTCTATTTTCTATAGTCTATTTTACTGCATATCTAGTATGGTGGCTTTATTTGGGCTTTGATGGATTTAAGATATTTTTGCACGATGCACCAAATCCTAGGTCCAACCTAGTCTTCTGTATGTTTAACTCCACGGTCATTGTGTCATATCTTTTAGCTGACCATACTTTGGTAGGTTGGTTGATCCTGATTTTTGAACTATGAAAAGGGAGTGATTATAAAATAGAACTCCTCTTTCACTTAAAATTGTATGTTTGCAGAAACAGTTGATTACTGTATGTCATAATTTATTTAATGCACAGAAAGGTGATTTTTCTGACAATGTTTCAAGAGCTCTGCAACCTTGTTCTGGTCAAAGCACTAATAAAATAGTATTGTTTGTGTATTAGGAAAAGAGACTCATAGGTTTCACATATAAAGTGCAACTCCTGCTAATTTATTGCTATGTCCATGTTGGAGTTTTTCCCTTACTTATGATAGAATTGTCACTGAGAGAGGAACTCATGAGGGTAAATCCCACTATAGGGAGTGCTGTGGAGCGGTACAAATTGAGCAATGGACGGTAATGGTGGAGGATGTTGCTGGGGGCAGGTGCATCTTCCAAGTTATATAAGAGAAGATTGGATACACAGTATCTGTTCTTTTACTGTGTGGGACTTGATCAGACCAGGGCCAAGGATTACATTTTAGGTATTTGATAATCAGATTTTGAAAGAAATTAAATATTTCAGTGGATAGAGATGAGAAAACTAGATCTGGCAAACTAAGCCATTGATATTTTTTTTTTTTTTAAATTGGCTCAGCTAGAAATGTGTTCTATGTAAAGCACATTTTTTTTCCTCATCAGTATTAAATTAAGAGTCTTCCACAGCAGAGATATATATCATTAGTTTAAGCAGTTGAGGTTTTTTTTAATAAGGAATGAGAAAAATGTCCATCAAAGGTTGTGACATGTCCTATTCCATCTGTGGGCTATACACTATATTACCAAAAGTATGTGAACACCCTTCCAAATGACTGAGTTCAGGTGCACAAAGCTAGCTTCACAAAGACATGGTGTGATGAGTTTGATGTGGTGGAACTCCAGTGACATGACCTCAACCCTACTGAAGACCTTTGAGATGAATGTAAATGTAAATTGTCAGCCAGGTCTTCTAATCCAACATCAATACGTGACCTCACAAAAAAGCAGAGCAGAAAATCCCACTCTCCAAAATTAAGTGCAAAGCCTACACAGAAGAGTAGAGGCCAAGTCAAGGCAATGGTCATGGATTTAGAATGGGATCAAACTCATACAGTATATTGAACCATGCTTTATAGGGGTTTTTGTGTCTTCCTCCGGATCAACAGGGGGTAGCTGTGGGTGTAGCATTCTGTTTAGGCTTTTCTTCTTTTTTTTTTCTTCTTTTTTTCTCCGTATCTCTATAGGTTGAACTCAATGGACTTGTGTCTTTTTTCAACCTGACTAACTATGTAACTATGTATATAGATGTGATGGTCAAGTGTCCACAAACCTTTCACTATAGTATATTATATTGTTTGCTGTTTATAACTATGTAAGATTTATAGAAACCACTATCAGAGCTTAAAGGGATTTGTGGTCCTCTATAAGTATACATAAGTATACATGGTTTGATGAGTTTGATGTGGTGGAACTCCAGTGGCATGACCTCAACCCTACTGAAGGTCTTTAAGATGAATGGAAATGTCAATTGTCAGACAGGTCTTCTCACCCAAAATCAGTACCTGACCTCACAAATAATCTCTTGGCTGAATGAACAACTTGTGCAAAGCCTACCCAGAAGAGTAGAAGCCAAGTCCAGGCAATGGCCATGGATTTAGAATGGGATGACCAACAAACTCCCATAGATGTGATGGTCAAGTGTCCACAAGCATTTGGTTATATAATGTCATATTGTTTGCTGTTTATAACTATGTATGATTTATAGAATTCACTATCAGGACTTAAAGGGATTTGTGGTCATCTACAAGTCTACCTAAACTTACAAGTCCTGATTGAAAAGTGTATTACATTTCTTTTATAAAATTCCTTATATATTTCTGTATTTCACCTGTTATACCTGACTGGCTTCATCAAAGGCACATTGTTATTTTATTTTATGTTATTTTATAGTTCTAATGTTTTATTCTATATGAATAAGGTCCTCATGTGGGCAGTCTCTCTATTTCCAAGAGTTACAGAAGGTATTTTTAAACTGTATATAAATTTAATAAAACCTTTTAACTGAATCTGAATAGGTAAACAAGATGGACATTCTTTAATTAGTTTACAGCAGCCCTGAACTGAACAAATTCTGGAAGGAGTAACAAGCTACATGTTGTAGCTAGAAAGACAGCTATTGCATTTTTATGACAAATAAAGAAGTGAAGAATTGTTTTTAGCAATCCATATATGGGGGAAAAAAATTTACAATGATAAAAACATAACTTTTGTTTACTTCTTTATTCCATATGGAAAATGGAATGGACAGACTCTGAACGTACACAGTTTCACATGTGTTCTAATTAGGTTGATTTTTTTCTAAGTTTAATTTCAGTAGAACAAAGAAATGGAACAATGCCATTCAAATAAATAATTACAGCTAACAAATTACATATAAAAATTTATATTTTTGTGGTAACAGTTATAGAATTGTGCATTTTTGTAGGTTTTATGTTTGTACATTTGGTGCAGGTTAAATATGAACATAGAAATATATGAGTATAGGAAAAAGTATGACATTAATATGCCCTGTAGGGCAATGTGCTTAAAGCCCAACTCCACACTGATTCTAATTTTAGCTTAGGATAGAGTGAGAAGGATTATCCGGTCTGCAGAATTTACATGATGTCTGTGTTGCAGAGATTTCCCTTTTATTTCCTGTCTCTGTGACAGCCATACAAGGAAGTGGGGAAAAATGTCTCCAGACAGGGAGGCAGACAGAGCAATACAGTCACATTTATTTACAAAAAAAGCTTGGAATCTCTTCCAGGAATTTATTGCTAGTGTGATGTGTCACCAGGAGAGGAAGTTAGAGAAAAAGTAGGGAAATAGACAGTGGTAAATCCCTGAGAGAAGATCTAACTATCCCCCACTTTACCTGAGGCCACTTTCACATGGGCTGATTAGGAGGGGATCCTGCACAAATCCCTCCCTTATCAGAGCTGTATGGATTAGATGTCACCAATGTGACATCCGTGTCCATCCAGGTTTTTCCTCCATCTTGCAATGAAGGAAAGAACTGAAACTGCCAGATCCCATGTCGGTCTATGGGGAGTCAGATGTATACGGGCATGTGTCTGTTTACATCAGATTAACCCCAATCCAGCACAATCAGTTCCAGTTAAATATGACTCTATTCTGCTTGTTTTCCCCAACCGGGCTAGAGTCGGGGTACCAGGTGTACATGGAAGCCCATCCATTTAGACATGGCTGCCCAAAGGCTAGCATTGGGCATCCAATTGGGTCCGCCTGAAAAACAGACAGGCCGACCCAATCATACCGTCCATGTGAAAGGGTCCTAAAACAAACAGTTTTATCTGGAGTTGGGCTTTAAAAAAACTATGTAGGTGGAGAGGTGAACAATGGCATCCTATATAACGTATACGTTCTGAGAAGGAGGGCAGCTCTCCGTCAGACAAAATGGTGGTGAAAAGTACTAAAAAAAATATGAGGCAACTGTACTCAAATAAAAAAAAATTCTACCTC